AAAGAAAAAAAAAAAAAGAGCTTGATTGTTCTAGGCAGTGAGAGCAGCGTGTGCAAAGGCCCTGAGATAAAACATAATTTTGCATATGTAAAAACCTGAAAGAAGATCAGTGTGACAGGGGAGAATATTGGAAAATGGGGGTTGAAAACAGAAGCAGAATCCAGACCCTACGGACCCTGCAATGATGTTAATGAATGTGTTATGTGCAATTGGCAAGCCAGTAAAGGGTTTTAAGCAAAGGAATGGTATTGTCTGATTTGTATATAATGGGAAATTAAACTTTGAAAATATTAAATTAATGTTTGTTTATTCCTCTATCCTATAAATCATGCTCCTCAGCAAAAGTTAACTATTATAGCTCCAGATAACTGGGGAGCAGAAATGCCTCTTCTGCTGTGGGGTGAACCACTCAACAGCTGTAAAGTTTTGCTAGTGGACTAGATGAGGAAAATAAGGGGAAATACAGCACCAAAGACGGACATCAAGTTTCTAGCTCAAGACCATCAGTGGACTGGGGCACCATTTACTGAGATGGGAAAGATAGGGTAAGTAATGAACAGGGTTTTAAGAGGCAAAACTTAAGGATCTCAATTGGACATGTTAAACTTGAGGTACTCAGATGAAGTCGTAAGTAGGAGTAAGATACATGGCTCTAAGAGAAAATATCTTTCATAGGAGAAAAGATAAGGAAGAGCCTTTGGCTGTTACCAGCAAAAAATTAGGTGTTGCGAATTAATGAAATCATCCTTCAAGACACCTCTAAGCATATTCATGTGCATTATATTCTTTATTTCTTTTTATGTGTTACATTATTAATCCCCACGAAAGCCTAATGCTTTAGTGTCATAATTATTTCATACATAAGTAAACTGAGGCTAACAGACCTTAAGGCATTTGCCCAAGGTTATAGTACATGGTAGAAACTAAAGTGGAGTCTCTGTGATTCAGCCCTTACTCAGTGTGACTGGTCTTTCATGATTCATTTATATCCATTTATTGCTTTCCTAGAAGTTACATTCACAGGGTAACAGGTTTTTTTTTTTTTCCACTTGCTTGCCCCCATATATTTTCTATTACTAGCTCATAACAAGTCCCCTTGTGAAAACAATTAAATGTTATATCAGGCCGGGTGCGGTGGCTCATGCCTATAATCCCAGCACTTTGGGAGTCCGAGGCGGGTGGATCACGAGGTCAAGAGATC